GGGGGCTCCACACACTGCCCCGCCCCAAGTGCTGGCTCTGCAGCTGTAGGGGCAGTGTCTGCAGACGGGGCAGCATGCAGAGCTGCCTGACTGCACCTCCGCATAGGAGCTGGAGGGGGGACATGCTGCTGCTTCCGGGAGCTGCCTAAGGTAAGCGCCGCCCAGAGCCTGCACCTTCCCACAATCCAACCCCCTGCCCCAGTCCTGATCCCCTCACCCGCTCCAAACCCCTCGGTCCCAGCCCGGAGCGCCCTTCTAAACGCCAAGCCTCTCATCCCCAGCACCACCCCAGAGTCTGCACCCCCAGCCAGAGCCCTCACACCCCCTCCCACCCAACCCCCGCCGCAGCCCGGAGTCCCCTCCTGTACCCCAAATCCCTCATCTGTGGCCCCACACCAGAGCCTTCATCTCCAGCCAAAGCCCTCCACCACTCCCAAATGACTGAGTGAGTGAGGGTGGGGAGAGCAAGTGACAGAGGGAGGGTGGATGGAGTGAGTGGGGGGCAGGGCCTTGGAGAAGGGGTGAGGGGGGGCAGGGCAAGGGTGTTTGGCTTTGTGTGCATAGAAAATTGGCAACCCTATTAGCCAGGAGTGTGCAAAGATGCCTTAAAGCTATGCCTGCTAGGCTGCGCCTCCTAAAGCAACAGCACAGAATCTCACCTAAACAGTATTCTCTCTCATAAGCCCTTTTAGTAAGATACCATGGGAGTTTGTGCATGTAGCTGGTTTCACAGTTTATGAAGTTTTCCATAACATAGTTTATCAAATTTTATATACTTGACTGTTCCTTTCCTTAGTAACATCTCAGAGAGGGTTGCTGAAAATGTACTTGTTTTGTTGCCTGTAACAGAATGAAACAGAAGCGATATAAGCGATATAGTCATTTGTGGCCAACGTAGAAGTATTATACAAGGAGTGTGAAAGCAATATTACTCCTGCCATTTGAATTATAAGCAGAGTTTTTTCCAGTGTCTCTTAAAGCATAAGCTAGTTTTGAGATGTAGTTTCAGATTTACTTGGCCATACAGAACACTTGGGTGCAAGAGTGAATTTTCAAGTCTTGCTTCTAGGGCCAGTGGAGAGTATGAACCAAACTCAGCTCTGGTGTACACAAATGCAGTTCCCTCTGAAGACTCTAGAACATGCACCCATTGTGCCAGGGTTGAATTGGACTCTGAGTCAGCTGCATGCAGAGCTTTTTGTAATGAACCCATAACGAGGCGAGGTTTTGCCAGGTTACAGAATCCAAACGGCCCAAGCCTAGCCTGAGTTGTAGGTACTCCCAGGCTAGTGGTGGATGAAAGCCATGAGAGACTTGGTGGTTTGGCATAATTTAAATCCCCAAATAGGGCAAAATGTGCTGTTTTCATCAATATTTTTATTTAAAGTTTTGGGTTGAGGTCAAGGGGATCTGAACTCTCAGAAACCAAAACAAGGTTCAGATGAACTAGAAAAAGGCTTGAAGTAAAATTCCAGATCTAAATTTCAAACTCTGGATGTGACCCAGAGCCAAACCCATTCGAATCCACATTTTGGGCCTGTCCTTTTTTTTTTTTTTATAAAGTGTTGCAGTTTTTGGATGCCTAACTTGACATACCTTAAAGTGACCTGTTGAGCATCTGTCTTCTGAAAATCAGGCTCCTTTCAGGTGTCTGAAGATGGGCAGCCAAAAATCACTAATCTTTGCAAATGATGTATATTTTTATAATGGACTGAACAAAAACCCAGACCCAGACCATCCTCCCTTGAAATTTGAGGTGTTAGAAATGCAGTTTGATCGATGCTCTTCTATCTGTAGACTAATCCCTCCCATCCAGTCAGAGTGATGTTGATTTTAAAGTAACATAAATGGCCTGCATTAACAATGCTATTACTGAAGTGCTGTGATATTTATTTTTAAACACTATTGTTGCTGTACAAATAGCTAAAGAAGCTTAATAAAACCAGAAAAACAGCAACTTATTAATGCAAATAATGACAAAGTTGAGGCATGTAAACCCGGTGAAAGAGCATTGGCCTGCTAAACCCAGGGTTGTGAGTTCAATCCTTGAGGGGGCCACTTAGGGATCTGGGGCAAAAATCACTACTTGGTCCTGCTAGTGAAGGCAGGGGGCTGGACTCGATGACCCTTCGGGGTCCCTTCCAGTTCTATGAGATAGGTATCTCCATAAAGCGGTGAGCATGCAGAGGGCAGCAGTGAAAGCTCCCAGAGTCAACGTGTCTCAGTCAGGGTACGGCTACACTAAAAATGTAAGTCGACCTATATTAAGTCGACTTACAGCCACCGCAGTAATTACTGCAGTGGTGCATGTCCACACTACCCTCCTTGGGTTGGTGGTACATGTCCTCATCAGGAGCAGTAAGAGGGGCAGTATAGGGAGCCGAGAGCCCGGGTTCTCAGCTCCTTTGGTAGCTTCCTGCCGGGAGCCCTGCTGCCCCACAGGCTCATGGGCTCCCAGTGGGCTGCCCCCTACTCAGCTCCCTGTTCCTCCCCCCACCCAGGAGTGGGGGGAAGCCACCCAAGGCTTCTAACCTCCCTGTTCCATGCCAGGGGGAAAATCCTCCTGGGGCTTCTGGCCCCCCGGGGAGTGGGGTCCAGCTGCCCCAGCTTCTCGTCCCCCTCTCCACTCTATCAGCTCCTCACTAGGAGCTGGGCAGCCTTGTCAATTTCACAGCTCCCAGCCAGGAGCGGGGTTCATTCTTGCCCCAGTTCCCAGCCAGGAGCAGGGTCCAGACGCCCAGCTCTCCAGGGGAGCAGAGGACAGCTGGGCTTTAGCTGCCCAGCTTTCTTGTTGACAAGAGTGCCAACTGCGTATGTAAGTAACAGTATCTACACCAGGGGTCTCGAACTCAAATGACCATGAGGGCCACATGAGGACTAGTACATTGGCCTGAGGGCCGGATTACTGACACCTCCCCCACCCCACCCTGCCGCCCTCGGCCCCGCCCCCACTCCACCCCTTCCATGAGGCCCCGCCCCTTCCCTGCCCCCATTCCAACCCCTTCCCCGAAATCCCCACCCCAACTCTGCCCCCTTCCTGCCCCCAGGGGGTGCAGGAGGGATGTGGAGTGTGGTGGGGCTCAGGGCAGGGAGTTGGGGTGTGGGGTGCAGGAGGGGTGAGGGGTACAGCAAGAGGTCAGGGTGCAGCAGGGGGCTCAGGGCAGGGGGTCGGGGTGCAGGGTACGGCAGGGGGCTCAGGGCAGGGGGTTCGGCTGCAGGAGGAGTTCCGGGGGCAGGATCTGGCCCGGCGCGTACCGGGGGCAGGGCAGGATCCCTGCCTGCATGCCTGTCTGCCCTGCCCCCGCAAGAGGCTGGAACGTGGGGAAGGGGGGGCGGAGGGGCTGTGTGTTTCTGTTGCTTGAGGCACTGCCTCCAGCAGCTCCCATTGGCTGTGGTTCCCCGTTCCCGACTAATGGGAGCTACTGGGGGCGCTGCCTAAAGCAACAGAAAGACACAGCCCCTCCGCCCCCCCTTCCCCACGTTCCAGCCTCTTCCCGGAGCGGCGCAGAGCAGGGCAGGCAGGAAGGGAGCCTGCCCTGCTCCCGGTGCACGTCCGGACGCCATTCTGGTAAACACTGGGGGAGGGCGGGGGGGCTGCAAGGGGCTCGCGGGCCGCAGAAAATCACCCTGCGGGCCACATGTTTGAGACCCCTGATCTACACAAACACTATCACCCTAACTACACCGACATAAGCCCTATGCCTTTTGTGGAAGTGGAATTATTATGTCAGTGTAGTAGGGCACTTGCATCGGTGGGACAAGTGTAGACACTAACATGATGAGATTGACATAAGCTGCCTTATGTCGACCTAACTGCGTAGTGTAGACCAGGCCACAGACTCAATGCCTGCTGGAGTGTTGGGACACTGTAGGCCAGTCATCCCTGCTGAAGCCTTTTACAATTTGAAGCATGCACACACATTGCACCATTCAATGGAGAAAGAGAGGCTGCCCTACCCTGTCTCCTTTGAAGTGCAAGCTGGAAGGAAGGACAGACTGGAACTACTCGTATGCAACGGTTTGAAGTTATGGAAGTTTCTTGAAACCAATCCCCTCCCTTCCACTAAATCCCTTTTGCAGAGCCACATAGACCTAGTCTTCATTGTTTATTTGAAACTGACCTGCTCCAAAAAAAGTCATTTTCTTTTATAAATTCATTCAGTAAACCTGATGTTTTTGTCAATTTAGCATATCGTCACACTATCAGCCAAAGCTGTAAAAAGCTCAGCGAGTTTAACACTAATGGTTTCACACTGAATTTTCACAGTATGAATATTTAATAGTAATGAACTATAAAAATGGACCCAACTATTAAATTCTTTAAACAAAGCTCTTCAATATTAGGACACGTATGAAAATATTAGAGTTGATGTTCCACTTAATGATATGGCATTTGGGGGATAAATATACTAATGTTTTTGGCTGTCTACTTTGAAAGTACTGTCTTTTTACATTTTGCCTGTGTGTTCCACTGCCCCCAATAAATTAATTTGTGTTTGCTACTTGTCTCATAGTCCCATTAGCACATCAAATGTTAAGGAACTATCAAGAGACCCATTTGCTTAGAGAGGAGTTAAAGCAAGAGAACAAACCATCCATAATCAGTCCTATCAAAACAAAAGCCATTCCGGGATAAGAGACACTCAGTTGGTTGTTAGGTTGTAATGAAATGCCTGTTTACCTTGCCTGCAATGTGGGGCTCTCTCAATCTCTCCTGTTGAAGCTGTTCCACTGTGGATAACTAATTATAAGTCATTGGAGCAGGGGAACTGGACGCTGGGTCTCCCACATCCTGGATGAGTGCTCTCGCCACCATGCTATAGAGTCATTCTCATGTTTGTGCACTCTCTCTCTGGCCCAAATGCCCCTAAGTATTTATCCACAATTCAACAGCTTCAACAGAGACTGAGGGAGCCGCCCCCCTCCGCCCCCACATCAGAATATCTCATCAGAATTTCCCGGAAAGGTAGATCACTGTTCAACTCTCTTCTCCTCATCAGCTATAGGGGGAACTTTAACCAGGTGTCTCCATATCCCAGGTGAGTACCCTAGACATTGGCTAAAAGTTACAAAAGAGGTCATCATCCTCCTCTACTTCCCTCCCTTTCCTCCACTGTTTTGTCTGAACTCACCTGAGGGGCCAGATCCAGTAGGCGGCCTCGGAGCAGGCCTATCCAATCCTGTGAGTTCGGTGGCTGAACACCCATCTTCCCCTGGTTTGTGAATCACTGTGGGCTTAGGCGGGGACAGTCGACCAATGCCTAGAGCGATGCCTAGAGTGCATGCCCAGAGACAGAAGCCCAGGTGCCTAAGGAACTATTTACTGCAAAAACATAGGCGCCAAATAAGTTTAGGTATCTACAGAGTTCAGCAGGAGTTTTGTGAATCACAGTGGAGCCTAGACCCAGACTTAGGCACCCAAGTACTTTGTGAATCTAAGTGTAAGGGGACTGTTGCCCCCTTACTAACATTCAGTGGGGGTGTTTTGGTTGGCTAGCTCCCAGCACTGAAAGGGGAGGGGTCGATGGCAAATCAGGAGCCTGAGACTGACAGTCCCCAGGAACAATGGGGAGAGGCCAATGCTCCAGATCAGCCTGATTGACAGGGCGGGCAGCTAATCAGGGAGTCAGGAGGCCAGGGGGGGTCCCGTCCTCCGTGTGAACTGGAATGGCCTGAGTCAGACAGAGCGGGGCCGAGCTAAGGAGAGAGCAGGGGCCCGAGCTGAGCTGCTGGAAGCAGAGCTGCAGCCCCAAAGCCAGAGCACAGCCCAGAGAGAGCAGAGCTGCCCTGGGAGCAGAGCTGCAGCAACCGGAGCCAGAGGGGCCAGACAAACAGCCAGGCAGCAGGTCAGAGCTGGGAGCAGAGTCACAGAAGCAGCCTGCAGAGCAGAGCTGTCCTGGGGGCAGAGCTGTAACAACCAGAGCCAGAGAGGCCAGAGAAGCAGCCCAGGGAGCTGGAGGCAGAGCAGCAGCAGCAGCCGTGCTGAGGCAGAATGGAGCTGGAGCTGGGGCTGGAGCAGTCCGGAGCTGGGTGCGGTGAGCAGCTGGGGAGAGTGAGGGGGACCCTGGGCAGTGGGCCCAGCACAGGGAGACGCCTCAGCCAAGAGGCTCTGCAGGCCAGACTCGGAGGGGGATCATAACCCCGACCGGGCGGGGGCGACGCTGGGAAAAAGGGTCCTGCCACCTAGAGCCAGAGAGCGTGTGGCCACCACCAGAGCAAGTGTCCAACCCGCAGCGTCTCTGCAGCACAGCCAGGGCCTGAAAAGGAGCCTGGGACCTACAAGGAACAGACTGAACTGCCCTGACGTACCAGAGACACTGTTTGTGATGTTCCCTGCCACAGAGCAGGGTGATGTGTTTTCCTTTAACCTTTCCCATTTGTCCTTATTCTTTTTTAAAATTAATTGTTAATTAAACAACTTGTATTTGCTTTAAATTGTATGAAATGACCAGTGGGTCAGGGTGGTGCCCAGTGCAGAGAGAGTACCCCGGAGTGGGGACACCCTAGCCCCTGTCCTGGGTGACCACAGCAGGGTTGGGGGTCGAGCCCCCCAGCAATCCTGGGCCCAGCCTTGTCGGGGTTTACGAGGACTCTGCCAGACAGGAGAGTGGAAGGGGAGTCCTCAAGGGCAGGGAGGCCTCTGGGTAAAGGAAGTGGGAGCAAGGACTCAGATCCTTTCGCTAGCCCACTTCACCGGGGTAGTGCAGAAGCCAGGAAAGTTCCCCACAATAGCGGGACCATTCCCCCGCTTACATAAGCTTCCCTGCCTGAAAGTAACGTTATCCTCCATCTCATATGGGATTTAACTGAAACCATTGGTTAAGGGCTACAGTGTGCCTTTTGGCACAGCTGCAAGCAAGGGGGACAGGAGGGGCATGTAAGGTGCAACAGCCCAGACTGAGCCTCTTTGGGCCTAAGACAACCCCTCAGAACCACAATCCCTTCCCTGCATTGCAGTTGCCTTGGCAGAGGGTGGGGGTAGTTATTTTGCTGCAGGCCTATACCACCCATAAGTTACAACACCTTGTTGGCCGCCACCTTGGAGTCCATCAGTGAGACACTAGCATGAGTAAGGCTGGCAAAACGGGCCCCACAATGAGTGAGCAGTAGATCCTGGGTTATAATCGGTTCCTGGGCCCATACTTAGACTGACTCTTTCCATTTTTGATCACTTTCCACTTCTTGCTTAGAAAAACAAACAAGGTAGGGGGTTTCTCCTTGCGGGGTTCTTCACATCTCATTTGAACCCACAAAGACCCCCAGTTTCCCTTGCTTAAATATCTCTATGCTCACCCTCAAATTCCCAAACTATTACTACTATTCCGCCAGGCCAAGACCACTGTTCTCCCTTTTAAGCCTCTCACTGGGAACCTTAACAACTGGAAACCAAGTGTCTCACTGCCAAGTAATGTCCCAAGAGGAGCTGAACTTGCTGATACACCTCACTGTTCTCCTCCCATATCAGCCTGGATTGAGAAACACTGCTGCATATTCAGGTCTCCCACATGATAGGGAGCACTAAGACTAAGCCACTTGTTGGGCTCCAGAAAGTTTTTTCCAGTTAAACAGTGCCATATGTTCTGTGACATTGGAAATAACTCAGCTATCTAAATAGCACTCAATAAAGCAGACTATTACTGTTAACCAAACGAAGCATTTAAAAATCAATTAGAACACTAAGTTGCACTAAGTACCATGGTGGAATGTCTTCAATTTCTCTCTGCTGTTATGTGTAGATATGACTTATACAAATATTTTACATACATTCCCAGGCAAAAAAATTATGTTAGGATGTAGCTGAAGTTGAGAATCCATATCTATAATTTAAAGGATGAAGAACATTATATGCATGTGGTAATTATCCCAAAAACGAGCATTATGAACCTAGGAAATTCAGAGTTAAAGTTAAATCTAAAAGAAATCCAAACGTATTCAGCTATGAAAATGGACAGTTAAGGCACCCAGACAATCTTTACTCTGCCCTGTAGTGACACCATGCAATAATCATACAAATAGAATTTATTCTTATTAGTGTTTGCGGTCCCACCTTAAAGTAAACTGATTTACTGCCATATTTTTTCCTCATGGTGTCACTCCATTTCTAGGGTTTTTTTCTGCTTTGTTTTGTTTTACAAAAACAAAATTGTTCAGCAATTGAGCTGGATAAGACAGAATAAGATGCCTTTTGCTATAATAAACGTTAAGTAACAAGAGGCTTAACCAAAAGATTCCTTCTTTTGGTGTTAACACTTTATATAATGGAGAGAAGCATTACAAAAATAAATGGTTTGCTTATAAACGGAGCTTTGTTAACCTGTTTACTTTAACATGCATTGATATAGTAGAGATTTTAATTTATATGACAGAAGAAGATGTTTCTAGATCAAAAGCTGCTGAAAGGGGTTTTACCTTGTCCCATTTTCTCGAGGATGAATATGGCTGCAAATACTTGGTGCATATCATAATTCATTAAACTGTGATCGCTTGTTTAACACAGTGCATTGCATTTCATGCACTGACCTTTCTCATAAAAAACATTGTACAAGGATCATATACAAGATGGCCTTTTGGGAAAAAATTGTGGCAATTTACATTCAAGATACCATGGTGTGATAACACATTCAGTGAGGTTTGTAATTTCTAGAAAAAAAGAAGGAGAACATCATATACTCAACATTTGATTGAACTGAAACTGCATTTCTAAATTCACATCATTATCTGTGCTGGGACTCAGGCTTTTTCTATACTACCAAGTTCTCTCGACTACACTTATATCGACACCCAAAAGTCAACTTAATAAAAATCAGAAAAGCTTGTTCACACTAGCCCCCCTCTGGCAAAGATGACATCCACACTGGGGGCACTGTCATCGACTGTGTGACCAATGCATTGTGGGTATGTATCCCACAGTGCAGGATGAGACCTTCTGTCGCTAGATGTTGTGGGAAGGTGGAGTTGGTCGGGACGCATCTTGGGACCTAACTAAATGTCCCGTGATGCATTGCTTTGTGTCCCAGCACTCCATGGGCTTCCAGCTTCCTTTTGTGGCATTTTTGCAATGACCATGGCCATTCTCCGCTGTGCACCCCGGCATCTTTGTGAGAAGGGATGGATCCTGCACTGCTCTACTAAGTGTCATGAGGACATCGTGCATGGCAGTGCAGTTAATCATGAAATTACTGACAGAGGAAGACTTGCAGGCACCCAACAGGTATATCTGATAGAGCTGGAAGGGACTTTGAAGGTCATAGAGTCCAGTTCCCTGCCTTACCTAGCAGGACCAAGTACTGCCCCTGACAGTTCCTCCCCGCCTGATCCCTAAATGGCCCCCCTCAAGGATTGAACTCACAACCCTGGGTTTAGGAGACCAATGCTCAAACCACTGAGCTATTCCTCCCCCCATTATTCTGTATGAAATGGATAGCAGCAACTTTACATTGCTTTTGGCATTCACAGAGCAGGTGCATAGGGTAGACCATCACTTTTGGGCTAGGGAAACAAGCACTGAATGGTGGGATCGCATCATCACAAACTCACTGTTTTGTCGCCAAAAGGCAGTTTTAGGTGACAAAACTTAGGTTTTGTCTACACTACCAAGATTCAGTTGCGTACTGATTAGCTTGATGCCTTTGGGAGTCAGTGATTTTTTTCCCTGCGTCTACTTGTGTGGGATTATTACTTGAAAAAGCACCCCAGAAACATTTTCCACTCCTTCTCAGAACATTCTACCTAGCAGCTCCTGCCGACAAAGTGCTGTTCACACTGGCACTTGTCCCGGCAAAACTTTTGTCTTTCGGGTGTGTGTGGGGGGCAGGGGGAAAGTTAACACCTTTGAAAGACAAAAGTGTTGTTCAATTGCTAGAGTGTAGACATAGCCTTAGAGGCATGGCTGTAGTGACACAGCCATGTTGCTAAAAGCGGTGTAGTGTAGACATAACCTAAAAGTCGTACAGTGTAGCCGCTGTTTGTCTACTGCCAACAAAAAACTTCCACCCCCAATGAGCGGGGTTAGCTTTGTTAGCAGGAGAGCGCCGTTGTCGTTCAATTGCCAGTATAGGCATAGCCGGAGATAACTGCATTATCTCTGCACTTTACTGGGGGTTGATGGATTCATAGTGTTTAAGGGCAGAAGAAACAATTAGATCATCTAGTCTGACATCCTGCAATATATAGGCCATTAAATTTCACCCAGTTACCCCTGTATATAGCCCAGTAACTTGTGTTTGACTAAAGCACGTCTTCTAGAAAGGCAGCCAATCTTGATCAGAAGACATCAAGAAATGGAGAATCCACCAACTCCTTTGGTAGTTTGTACCAATGGATATTCACCTTCTCTGTTAAAAATTTGTGCCTAATGTCTAATTTGAATGTGTCCATCTTTAACTTCCAATCATAGGCATAACAAGAACCTTTCTCTGCTAGTTAAAAAGCCTTTTATTACCTGCTACTGTGTCCCCATGAAGGTACTTCTACATCATGATCAAGTCCAATATTTTTTTGATAACATAAACAGTTTGAGCTTTTAAAGTCTCGCTGTACAGCAGTTTTTTTTTTCCAGCCCTCCAATAATTTTGGATGATTGAAGTTAATTTCAAATAACAGCAACACAAGACAAACCTTGAACCTCATTAGCAAAACTGAAGCTGCATTCAGCCCTCTAGCTGTTTTAAAATAGACCGCTTATGAAGTAGCTGGAATTAATTTCCAGTAATTCTCCAACTGCATGAACATCATGAGAAAGATTCTTTATTAAATTTAAGACTGTGATAATTGATTTGTTTCACTCTTGTCAACTCAACCTTCATAATGCCTCAGAACACATGGTGGAGAGGAAATGAAGAGAATTCCATTGCTGAATATGTGAAAAACAGGCCTTATTTACACAGAGATCATACTGAAGTCAGAGAGATGAGAATCAGCCTATCAGCATGATTTTACCCGTTTTAGGGACCAGTGTGGAAAGGGAATGAATAACCTGCTACCAGAAAATATGTAACAAGCTGTGTACTCTTGTATATCTATATCATAATTTCTGAATATAATTGTAATACTCTAACTGTGTCATATGTTCATGCAAACCACTTTTGAAAAGAGATTGAAAGAAGGCTATGAGCCCTGATTTGGATAAAACCTATGCGCCAGGTCTTATTAGTCTAAGCATATGGAAAACGTAATTCGCCAGCCATATTATGGAAAGTGCCATTCCGTCAGTGCACAGAAACATGCATATTATCCATAACATCAAATACAAAATTAAGATTCTATAACAGCACACATTACTTGTCATTGGCATCCTCATTAGCTGACATCTGTGTTTACAACTGGCTTAGACATCGAGAATGATCAGCAAGGACCAAGTAGAAGAGAGCTTCACTACTATTAACCTTTTGCTTTGGTTGCAGATGATCTTCTGAAAGACACCCCTTTCCCACTAAATGCCACTGGAGTCATGGATCCATTTTCCTTCCAAATCTGGCTAAATGATCATCGTGGAGAAATAAATCAGAAGAAATCCTTGACCATGTTTGGAGACAATTTTGAGACAGAGGTAGAAGCTTTTATTTTTTTCAAGAGACATGGGAAAGTGTTCAAAGCCACCAATGGCAGTCAGGTACCCACCTCCCATGGGACATCACCGGGAATTAGGCAACCATTTCCATGTCTGTTTTGATAATCGCCCCCACTTTTTTCTTATGTAAAATTAATAAGTAGCAAAATGCTATAAAAATTGTTAGTTATACCCCCTTCATTTCAGATAACATTCTTGGCACCAAGGCCAACTTTGATTTGTTAATCATGTGATATCCTCTCCTATTTTATGATTAAAGAGAGAAAAGGGACTGGTTGATTCAGGGGATCAGCAGTGGAAGAGCCTTTCATGTCTCGATCACCAGTTCAAATGCAGTCCCACTTGAGAGTAAAGTCGTTAGCATCTGGTGTCTGTTCAACATACACAGTCCTCTACAAAGCATGTAGAAAGTAACAGGTCTTCCCTGGATTAGTTAGAATCACACTCAGAGATAGGAGACAGTTCCAGTGACAGAAGGCATGGAAATGCTGTCAGAGAGATCAATGTAGACAGAAGGAATAATAAGGCTTTGAAGAAGGAAAAGGAGGACACACAGGGCCTGATCTGCAGCCCTTTGAAGTCAATGGGAAAAATCCTATTGACTTCAACAGGCTTTGGATCAGGCCCCATGTGGCAGGCAGAGAGGGTGTTTGTTCCAAGAGTAGGAGGTGGCAAGAATAAAGATGCAAAGCTGAGAGAGGGAGGAGGCAAAAGAAACAGATAAGTGAAGATATGGAGGAGCATAAGGAGTGGCAGGTGTGATCAGTTCTCCTTTTATCAGTAGGTATCTTTAAGAGATTAGCAAATGTAATGTGAATTCCAACAGTGTACATAAAATCTTGCATTTTACAAACACTTCCCCTAAAAATAAAATGTTTTACATACTGTAGGAAGATTCACATATACTTCAGTCGCTGGGATAAAATTCCCCCATTTTATGTTTTAGGCTGTAGTTTATGGACAAGGAGTAAGTGAAGGAAGCAAAAAGAATACCGATATCTGGATATGGCAGCTGGTAAGTGACATGCTTATGGACTAAGTGTGGGTTTGTATTTAGATCTGGAACAGTTCACTCTGCGAGAAAGCTTTCTAGCCATGGGCAAGAAAAAAATATATTTTTGATTCCTTCTCTAAGAAGACTCCTTAGCCCAGGAACCACCTGTGAGTCAATTTCAAACCACCAGTCACTCATCAGTGCTTGAAAAGTAACTCTTCTTCCTCCTCTCCCATGGTGGAGTGGTCGGGGGTCACTAGCATCCCTCACCACATCCTGGATAGGGGTTAGATTCCTTCCAGCGTCCCTCCCCCAGATCCACGAGGATGTACCATGGGCTGCAGGAATCTCTCCTCTGCTGTCCCTCCCCTGGTCCTACAGAGCACTTGACCTAATTATACACATGGACTGCTGTCCTTCCCATGGAGAAATCAGGTAGGGCTCTGAAGTAGATTTGCGTGATTGCGTAACAACTTGTCTACTTGAAAGTGAAATAGTAGCAGCAGTATGGCTCAGCAGTCGGGTGACTAGACATCCCAATTTTATCGGGACTGTCCCGATATTTGCTTTTTGTCCGCGTCCCGACCGATATTCGGTCAGAACACTGGACAAACAAGCAATTTTGCCCTCTGCTCCAGTGCACAGGCAGAGCCCGGAGGGGCTCGCGCCTCTCCCCCCCCCCCGCCCCGACTCCACCCCCTCTTTCCCCCATTGGATCCCTCCCCAAATCCCCGCCCTGGCCCCACCTCTTCCCCAAGCACACCGCATTCCTCCTCCCTCCCAGGCTTGCACTGATCAGCTGTATGGTGGCGCAAGTGCTGGAGGGGGGGGTGGCGCCCAGCACTCACCCTGCGAACTGCTCCAGCTTCTCCAGGAAGGCCAGCACAGCCCGGCAGAGATCCCACAGCGGCTCCCTCCGCCCGAGTCCCCGGTACAAGCTGAGGCAGGCCTGGGCCTCTTGCGCCGCGCCCATGCCCGGCCCAGGTGGGGAGGGCAGCCGGGAAGCAAGCCAGGCTGCCCCAGGGATCTAGCGCAGCTCATGGGCTTGGCTAGGGTTACCATATTTCAGCAAGCAAAAAAGAGGACGGGAGGAGCCCCGCCCTAGCCCCACCCCCGTCCTGCCCTAGCCCCACCCCTGCCCCTCCCACTTCCCGCCCCCCCCTCAGAACCCCCAACCCTCCCCCCACTCCTTGTCCCCTGACTGCCCCCTCCTGAGACCCTCCCCCCATCCTAACTG